GGTCGCAGCATGAGTGGCTCCGAGTCCCAAGCTGGTAGGACCAGTCCAATGCTTTGCTTTGGTCCATGATAGCACCTGGGGTCTGGAACTGAGACCCAGTCAGGTCTCACCTCCCCCAGCAGGTCAGGCAACATTTAGATCTAGGGGGTTGTTCAGAGCTAAGAAGCTGCATACAAACATTAGCCCTGTGTCAGGACTATCCCAGAACTAGAAAGAGGTTGAGTTGGGACACCCTTTTCCATAAAGCTGTTCAGAGAGGCTCCCTAGAGCATCCTGACCAAAACAGACCTCAGCATTTCAAGTGCTTGATTTCCACTTTCATTGATTACTTTATTGCGTTAAAAAAGAAAAGAAAAGCAAGAGTCTCTGAAGCCTTCGCCCCGCAACCCCAGGCTTACAGACAAAGAGCAGGGAAGCTGGAGGAGGGGAGGCTGCCACAACTTCCCAGCTGTCAGACAAGAGAGTGCAGAACATCCAGCATCACCTGATGGACTTGCAGCCAGGGCTGGGTGCAGGCTTCAATCCCTGCCGTCTCATAAGCATCTTCCATGGCCTGGTCCGTATGAACGTATCTGTCCATGCCAAGTTCAGAACTGCTCCTGCATGCATGGGAGGTGTACGGTTAAGATGCTGACTATAGTCCTAGTTCCTGCAGAATCTGTGCATGCTTCCAGGTGGCTCCTCAAGAGGCAGAGGAGTCCAAGGAATAGGAATGCATGGACCAGTTGCCCTGCTTCCTGAAACCTTTGCAGGGAGAGTTACCGAGTGGTTGCTGAGCCCTCAGTCAGGTCCTTTCCTTCTTAGAGGCAAATGTCACTCCAAAAGCTCTCCTTAGATGGCCTTTTGGTCCCATGTCCCAGAAGTCTCTTTCAGTCGGACATTCTCCAAGAGTCTCATGCCAAAAGCCTCCCCAGGCCAGTCCAGCTGTTCATGGGCACCTGGTCACTCAGGTTGGGGAGGCAAAGACAGCTGGACATACTGCCAGTCACATCACTCCTGCGTGCCATTGACTGAAAAGCTGGTGGACTTTAACCACACTAATGCAGTAGGCTTGGATGGACCTTCCTGA